AAAGTTTCAGTTATGGGAAAAAATTAGTATTGACTGAAAATCTCTTAGCTATTTCCGAACTGTATCATAAGCCGGCATTCAGGAGATACAGTACGAATCAAACCCTGTCCTTTCTGATGATGGTTGCAAAAATGGAAGAGAACGAGCAAGTTACGACCGGAGTATTCCCTTCTAGGTCAGACATTGTGTTACTCTAATTGTTGTTGAGTGTCCTGGGCTTCTCATCTGGATCAGTCCTTTCCCTTCAAATATGAGGCCAGAATCCTTACAGCCCTCTGGTTGTATCCTAGACAGTGCAAAGTGCCTTTCTTCTTTCTGGTTAAAGTCTCACTCTGTTTAGTAAACTGATCACGCATCTTTAGTACAATCACAGACTGCCTAAACTTTGAATGTTTTTTCTCCTTTTTAGTTGTGAGACTTTTTAGTTGGTGTCCTGCTAAATTACTTTGTGCTGTAATATCTTCATTTGTAGAACAGGGACAGTAATTGAACATTTCTCATGGAAATGACATAATGGTTAGCATAGGTAAAGTGCTTACAAGTATGTCTAGCACATGGTAAAAGACATGAAAGCATTAATCCTGGCTGAATGTCCCTTATCCAAAATGCTTAGAAACCAAGCATTCAGTTCAGAACCCAAAAATGTTTCAGATTTGGAACTTTTTGTTTGTTTGTTTGGTCTTTATGAGACAGGGTCTCACTATGCAATTCAGGATGGCCTTGAGCTCACTTTGTAGCCCAAGCTGGTCTTGAACTCCAACTCAGCCTTTGAGTGCTGGGATTACTGGTGTGTGTCACCACACAGGAGTTGGGATTTGTTTTTAAGAATTTGTTAAAGGGCCGGCCAGATAGCTAAGCGGACTGAAGCACCTGCTTAGGTAGAGCGTAGCAGCTGGGGTTTGATTCCCCAGCATACCTTGCCAGCCTTGCCCTCGGGGCACCCAGAGACAGGTAACTGAGACTGGGTGTGGTGGTACATGCCTGTAATCCCAGCACCTGGGAGGCTGAAAACAGGAGGATCACTATGACTCTGATCTGTGTAGTGAGACCCTGTAGACCCCATACTTAATACAAAAAAAAAAAAAAAAAGAATTTGATATATTTGCATGTGCATATTCAGATATACTTGGAGTGAGACTCAAATCTAAACACAAAATTTAAGTCTCATGGACACCTTCTACACATAGCCTGGAGGTCATTGTTTGCCACATTTTCAGTGTACCTTTGTTCTTACTGAAGCCTGTAATGTGAAGGACAGATGTGGGATTTTCCATTGACCCAACATAACAGTGCTCAAAAGTGCCATATCTTAGAGCATTTTGACTTCAGATCCACAGGTTAAAGATGTCCCACCTAAAAGTAACATTGTTGTCACTATTACTATGACCACTGTGTTTTACCAGTATGGTCACTATTGTGTTCATCCCTATCATTAATAAATATGTCACGTCATGACAGTGGCTGAAGCCTGCCAACACTCTATACCACCACTGATTCAGTAACCAGCGCCTGGCTATCTGATCCCACTATTACAAACCCCATCTGCCATACCACATGCTAGTCAGTGTTGTACTTTGGAGGACATGAACATAGCTAAAACAGGTCTCTGTCCTCACCAGGGTCTCTGAAGAAACAAACAGTAAAACAGGGTAATCCCTAGGAGACTGGTAGGCATAAAACTCACCGAAGGTGTCCGGTTGTAGTTGTGTAGTCTCCAGTTTAGTTTCTTTAAATACTCTAAATAGAAACAAACACCTTTCATGCCTTCAAGGTCTGCTGTGGCATTGTTTCACCTCCCACTTTTTCAAGTGTGGTTGTTTTTGCTAACTTGATGAAAATAGGACAAGTTACTTATTTAAAGATGTCTCTCGTTCTAGCCTCTACTCCTCAAGAGATTTTAATTTTTATTGGAGAGCCTTTGATCTTACTGTTTCACCAGGAACATAGAGCTTGGCTCTGAGTGGTGCGCCTGGAGCCAGTTCAGATGTTTGGTGCATGTCCCGTTACTAAGCTGACAGGCAGGGCTGCAGCCCCTGAGCGCAGTAAGCTTCCTCTTTGCACGTTCTCTCAGACCCGAGGACTCTGCTTGCCTTCAAGGGCTAGAAACGGAGCCTCTTTGGTGTTTTATTCATCACCAGATTCTGTTTGCCTTCTCCGTAATCTCATTCCTTCCAGAGGTGCCACAGTAAATGAGAGTGGGCACCAGGAGAGCCAAGCTTCTTCCCCACAGACATGCACTCCACTTACTGAAAAGTTTTCAGGAATCCTGTTTTCTCTGTCTTACTCCTCTTCAGAATAAGGCTCAACTTCAGGACCTTTGGATTACAGACGGACACACTGGCAGCTCATACCTCTCCAAGATGAGATGGTGCGACTTTGGATTGTGTAGTCTCAAATTATCAGCCAAACACTTATTAATTCAGATAACCAAAGCATTGGCCGTATAAAATTGCTTAATGTGATTAGCCTCATCATAAGCAGGTAAATCGCTGAGCAGTTACCTTGCCGGCACCTAATAATCTGTCTCTCTGGATCCTGAGCTCCTGGAGAAAGTTCAGAAATGCACTAAAGTATATGTCAGGAACAAGGCCAGGTCCTGTTCTACCATTTATTTTCCAAATTGTCACCCAAAAATCACATAACTTGAAAGCCTGTCAGTCCCAGCTTACAAAGGGAAGTTGTGTTTCTCCATTTTTAATCAATTACATGATACTGGCTTTTAGATTTCGAGATACATCACAGAGCTGATGTCACTGAATTTAACTTTCATATGAAACATAAAGAAACAGAGAGATGGGAAAGCCTCATGATGAGTCTTACTGAGAGTGTGCATAGATGTATTACTGCCTTTAGGGAAACGTTCAGATTCACAGTCTTGCAAAATCGTTCTTCGCTGCCAGATTTCATCTGTTGCCTCACATGTGAAACAAGTCCATTTTCTTGAGCATTGAGGTGTCCCCCAGCCTGGCTTCTCTGCCTAGAAAATGCCATTTTCGTAAAGAGCTATCATGCTTCATGTCCCCTGGTTTATGATTTAGCTGTTCAGGAAAAGTGCAGGCTGCTCTTGCTCTCCCAGTTCTGGTGATATGTGTTTTTGTTTTATTAAATCTTTAAAATACTAGGCTTGTTTTTTATGGCCTCCATATATTCTTTTGTTCTTTGACTTGTTAGATCACATTTTTTTCTGTCCTTTGTAAAAATATTGGTGCCTTTCTGAAGAACATTGTGGTCTACAGTACATTGTATAATGCAGTAGAGGAGTGCGTTGAGCCTGCTGCCTGATATGCGCAGGCTGAGACTGCGTGGTGTGTGCAGGCAGCAAGGTCGGGGGCTCTCAGATGTGGCTCTTGCCAGACGTGTACTGAGAGCTCGTAGATCATTTGGTACAAATCAGAGAGATCTGTACAAAATAAAAGTACTGTGTGTGTGTGTGTGTGTGTGTGTGTGTGTGTGTGTTCCGAGAAGGGACTGCCGTCACTGAAACTTACTAAGAAGCCCTGTGGTAAGTGGAAGTGAGGTCTTGTCCAGGTGTGAGCTTGTATGCAGTCAAGCCCTGAGTCTCACACTGTGCACAAGTAGCCTGATTCTTCAGGAAGAGGGCAGCTCTGAACTCCAGGTTCCTCTCGCTGGGCCAGCATTGCAGGTCTTGTTAGACCCAGCTTCTGCATTCCTGAGAATGGGTTCAGGTGATGAGCTGCTATGTCCCAGCTCTGTCCCTGCACAGAGGGTACTCACAGTCTTGAGTTACTCTCTAGTACAACTTGCCTGCTGTACTGATGTGAATCCCAAATAAACCAGTCCCTGACATCCACCTGAACTTTTTCACGTGCATACAGTATCTCACAGGCCATCCTGTACTGTTAGCTTTGGCAAGTACACTACAGTATATAATAAATCACGGAAGGAAAAAGCTTTTGGCCTACCATGGTTCAGGCTGCTGTAATGTTAGAATACAGAAAGCAGTTCTGTTTTTAGACATCCTTTTACTAACCAAACATTCATAATTTATGATTTCACTGTAAAATTCCTGCAACACTACACCAAAAGTAGTGCTGCCCTTTAATTAAGTGCTCTTGGTAGGCAAAACATAGAAGTGATGTGCCAAACATGTCTCTGTGCATGGTGATTGATAGTGATTACATCTTTATGAACCCAGCCCAAAGGTCTCTACTTCCTGATGGGTGAAGCAGTCTGAGGGGCCACTTCCTGAGTCTGCCTAGCGGGGATCAGGCACTGCTAACAAAATCGGAGATAATTCAGAGGCACAAATTAGAAATATTGAGGTCTTAAGCCTTCACCCATCTGTACTTTGTCACTAGTCTACCTGCCTTTGTTCCTTGTTTTTCTGAGAACTGATGACCAGATTTCATGCTGTCTCCACACCGGGAGTATAATACAGAGAGTAAAGCACTACATGAAGGCCTCTTTAAGGAATTCTAGATTGTCATGTGGATACATTTTAAGATTGTGGAAAAAATGGATGCTAGGTAATTATGTGAGTATAGAATATAGAATATAGTATAGCATTCTGTAGCCAGAGAGGATGATAAGTTATTGTATTAAAAAATTAAGACATTCTGTTTTTGTCTTTTCACTGAAAGTAGGCAAGTTTAAGTTTTAAAATAATGCCTCGATTAGGAGACTAAAATCCCAAGCCAGGTATCTTGGGCTCATCATTTTTTTCTACCATGGTTTGATCTTTCACCAACTAAGTATTCCAGTCGGTCCCAGCTTTGAGGACTTCTCTGACAGGTAATGTGGGTATATATACTATACTTGAAGTTCTTCAGGTTCCTGAAAAAAAAAAGGGGGTGGGGGACAGATCCATCGCAAGTGGCAGCACTTGTGTTAAATGAGTGCTTTCTTTCCTTTGCCTGCTTTCATCATAATGATAGCAATCAAATCAGCAGCAGTCATTTAATCATCTTCTCTGTGCCTCTGAGGTGACCCTTCTCTGAGCCGTGTTGACGCCATGTGTGCTATCTTCTGATGTCTTGCAGATTTGGGCCGGGCTTAGTCATCTACTGGTACGGATTTATCCAGGAGCTGGACTGCAACCGGGAAAGGGGTATCCTGCTCGCCGCCTGCTTCCCCACGGACATTATCACCTTGTGCCATAGCACCGCGTGAGCCCACAGACCCGGAGGAGAAGCTGGGCGCAAGAGGTGAATCCGGAAGCAGTTGACTTTCCTGCAGTGTAAACTCCTGGCAACATCTGCCCTGAACTTCAGCTGAACTCGTGCTGCGTGGCCACGCCACTACCTCTCTAGACAAACATATCAGGAGTTTCTGTTTTCCTTCATCCCTTGCTGATGCTAACAGCCAAGAACTACAGACACAACCCACTCATTATCAGCGTTTCTGTCTCTGTCAAACAGTTAGTTTATAGATAGTCATAATCTTTCTGCCTTCCAGATGGTTTCTCCTTCTACAGGAAACAAAAGAAAAACCATAGAGACTGAAAGGTGTGATTTTTCAATTCTCCCAGCCACCTTCTTATTTTCTTCCTAAGCCTCTATTCATCCTCTCTCCCTCCCCTGTTCTTCCCATACATGCTTCCAGATGCACTGTCATCATGGAATAACCCAGAACAAACCTAGAAAGCTGAAGACGTGAAGCTGGACAGGTTTTCCCTCTCACCTGTGGGGCTTCAGCGTCCCTGGGCCGAAGCCTGTGCGGCCCCCGCCCTGTGCAGTCTGTACAGTTTCCTGGCTTCTGTGGCACAGGGCCAGGCTGCACAAATACCCTTGATGAGAATGTCCGCTTTTGATAAGGCTTATTTGAACACCAAGCATTTTACATTTATATCATTTAAAAGTATTAGTTGTGTCTGGAAGCCACACTCTTTGGCTTGTGGGTAAGAGAAAGGATAGAAATTAATGGCCCGTGCTGTCCAGAGTTTATCTTTAAACATGATTAGTTGTCAGTACTATGCTAGCCAGTATGTTTATGAATAAAAAAGCACATTTTGTAGTATACTGCTTTGTGTCTACATTTTATAGTACATAACTATAAAACACTCAGATAATTTAGACATTAGAAATGTTTGGCTTTGAATGAATTAAATATACCAAAAGTAAACCTAGGGAAATTTTCACATAAGCAAGCTAAAGTAGATTTTATATTTGTCACATTAGCTTATTCACTTTTATATACTATAGACCAGACTTCAGTCTAAAGGAAACCACACATCAATAAATGAAGTATAAGTATATCTTTTCAGTGTCTGAGGAGATAGTTCAGTGGTGTAAGCACCTGCCTGGCTAGCCCAAGGTCCTCAGTTCAATCCTTGGTACCACAAAAAAAAAAAAATATATATATATATATTTTTTTTTTAAAGAAATTAAAAATTATTTCAAAAAATGTATTTAGGAAAATATTTGCCTCCGTGCTTATGAAACATAACTTTTATATTGTCAAATAGATAATCTTGAAAATATTAATAAAAATTAACTTTTGCAAACACCTGTTACACAGATTACTTGATTCTTTCAAAAGACTAGATCTGTCTTTGCTACTCTGATTGTTTTATACCCAAGAAAGTTGGTAAAATTATTCCTGTTGTTCTTCCTTTGTGTATGTGTTTGGCTGTTTGTGTATTTTTGTACACAGAGTCTCCCCAGAACTCAGGCTGCCCGAAAACCTAAAGCGATGCTCCTCAGCCTCCTGAGCACCAGGATTCCAGAGCTGTGCCACCCCAGCTGGCTGTTGTTCCTTCCAAAGCATTTGAACATTGAGTCCAAAATAGAAGTTTAACTCTGAAGTGAGGCTACCTAAAATCACAAGCGAGAGAAAGAAGATGTCAGGCAGACTTCTCTTTTCAGTGTAAAATTCATTGTGCAGATTTTGTAAGTGAGATTTGAAACTAATATATTGCCTTGCTACATGCATATTTTAAACAAAAATGTTCTTAAGAGTAGCTTTCACGGTGTGCTTAAGACTGGTTTCCCCCCTTAGGAAAAAATTACATTTATCTACACAGATGTTTAAATTCCTGTTAAACCCCTGTCAAGGATTTGTTTGTTTTACATTAAACAAATTTATGATGAGCAGGCACAAATAAATTTTAAAAATGAAAAAGGTGCTTGGATTTTGTATTTTTTCTCCTACCTGGAACCCTGACATAATGTTTTGTGGGAGGGTACGGTATTCCCTGGAAAGACACCTCCAATTCATGAGTAAGGCTTTACAGTTTGGCCTTTGAAAGTGAGAAAGAAGCCAGGCGTAAACTACACATTGTGATAAGTTGCAAGTGACACAAAAGTAAGCATTTCCCCTGCAAAAACTAATGTGATTATTATATTGGCTACATTGGAATTCAAGGGCTATGGGAGAATAGGAATATTTCTAAATTGGAACTTTAAAGCCTCTTTGTATTTTCTTACCAATCTATTTTAGCTTTCTGTGTTGTTTGTTTTTGTTGTTGCTGTTGTTGAGATTTTTTTGGCCTAAATGTTATAAACATTTAACTTGGAAAATAACATGGGATGGCAACTTATTTTCATTGCTGTTGTCATTAGAATATTAACAGGAAGGCCAAATCTTCTTTTATGGAACATTTTGTATACTTTGCTCATGAATTACGCGAACCAAAACAGCACTCTGGAGTATGTGTCAAGCATAACCAGAAATAATGTTGTCTCCTGCATACATAGTGGCTAACATCTGCTCCCACACACTGGAGACACCCTTTGGAAATACAGACAGGCATTGGCTCAGAACAGAGCTGATTCGGTCCTGACACTGTGGGTGACTTCGTAGACTGCCACCATCCTTGATTCCTCCCCCAGAACACGATAAACAATTGCGAGTCTCTTGTCTTTTGCCATCTGGTGAGATATTTGTCAACTCTTTAACATGCTCCTACAATCACATATAAAAGGTAAGGTCCAGAGGTCTAAAGTAGAAAGCGGGCCTCCAGGGGAAATAATTTTCTTTTAACCATAGGTGTGTGTACCTGTTCATTATCTGCAAAGCTTGATTTCACCCTAGGAAAGATGATTAATTGTTGGTCTGGGGAGGGTGCCTTAGCTCACACTAGCCACCAGAGGATAGCTTAGTGCGCTGATGAGGTAATCTACTAAATGGTCCCCGGTGGGCCACCCTAATTAATGCACAGTGCCAAGTGAACAGTTAATATATTCGTCTCCAACTAGAGAGCTATGCCCATTGTTTTCTCTTGGAAACCAAGATACCTTAGCTCCTTACTCTTTTTAACCTGCTCCCATCAATAGATGTGGTGTTTCGCCTGAATTAAACCTTCATTGCATTCCTGTTATTGCCTTAACTGTTCCTTCCTTCCTGGCCCTCTTCCCCTTCGCCAGCCTTTGCCAGTTTCCTTCCACGTGGATGTGCGCTGTGCAGTTCTCACTTCCCTTTGGCTCCTTTTCTCACTAGAAAATGATCCGAGAGCCAGAATACCTATCATCATATCCTGGTGCGTATGTTGAGAGGATGGGGAGCAGTTGGCCCAACCTCTTTGGGGATAAACAAAGTCCAGACATCACTCATATGCCACAATTTTCAAATGCATATGTGGCACCTGTAAGATTATAAAACTTCTTAACTAAAGCCACACAATTTTACAGGGTTAAATATGGTATGATGTTTATGCCTTCAGTCATTTGGTACAAGGAGCCAATAAAACATGTAAAACTTTCGTAGTTTCTATTCAGCCCAAGTGATGGTACTCAGCTAGTTAAAATTATGAATTAATGTCTGTGATTTAGAAAACTCCTCAGCCCATTTATCATAAGGGCAGCTGCCCACCATCCATGTGATCTAATGGACTAGACTGCCTCAGAATAACTATTTTATGACAAAGTCAAGCAAAAGAGAAAAGGTTCACAGTAGGCACTTCAAAAAAAAAAAAGAGGCAGGGGAACAGAGTTCAGGAACAAAGCAAACTCAGACAAACAGTAGGAAACCTGCAGTGCCCTTCTTTATAGAAAAATGCCCATCTGAACCTGTTTGACTCTTCAGTTAAGAGAGGGTTCCATGTGGCAAAGTTTGGGTCATCTTGTCATAGAATTGAAAATTAACCTTCCTATACATAGTCAAAATGGTCTGTACCTGTTTTAAGAATGTGCCTGGATTCAAAAGATTAAATAAGGAAGATGGAATTATGAATTAAATAATAACCAGCTCGGGTTCCCCTTCTGTTTTTTACCTTCCTGCTATTGTTTTGAATAAGACTGTGGGACAAAGAGCCGCTTAGGTCAAGCACTATAAATTACAGTTTTCATACAATAGTAATCCACTAAAATGATTCCAAAGTCTGATCAAAGTACTTCAAAAAGACTTCTAAAACTTTTCCACCACACAGGGTAGGGAGAGGCTGATTCAATGACTTAATTTTAGTCAGTATAGCAAAGCTCAATCTTGATGTCCTACCTGTTTGATAGAAAATCCAACTCATTATTAAATAAGCTCACCTTTTATTGTTTCATGTGTTAGAGATTTAAGTTTTCATCCAGTTAACTAGGACAACTAAACATTAGGAGTCACTTATAAGGAAAAAATAGATACAGTCGCATTTTAAAATAAGTGTAACTTATTGATTGAATATGACACAATTGGGTTACGGCTTTTTTTTTTTTTTTAATGGCTTTGGTACAGGCTGTCACTAAGCAGCTTGGACTCCTCGTGATCCTCCTGTTTTCAGCTTTTCCAGTGCTGGGATACAGGCATGCACCACCACACCTGGTCTCGGTGGCCGGCTTAGCATGCACAGGGGTGGGGCCAGCATAGCATGTGCTGCAGGGGTATGGAACCCGATCCCTGCCCTTCCCTAGGCAAGTGATTAGTCTGCTGAGCTATCTCACCAGCCCTATGTGACAGCTTTTGTTGAGGCTGCCTAACCTTTGCATTGGAATAAAGCAGAGCTCTGTATTTATTTCACATTGTAATAATAATCGTGTCAATAGATGCTTTTGCTTTTCAGCCTTTTTGCCTCACTTAGATCCAGCTGGAGCTGTCTCTTAGGAGGCAGGTTGCTGGCAAGTACCCTAGCAATTGCAATGCTAAGTAGATTCTGGGCTCACCATGTTCAGAGTTAGTGTGGACGGCAGCAACAGAGTCAGGCTCAAAGACAAACCCAAGACCCTGTGTCAGGGTAATTTTTATTTTTTAAAAGGGAGGTCATTTTTGAAATGCTGACATGAAATATAACCAAGTCAATTAAGTAATAACAATTGAAGTTCAGAGTTTAATTGAAGGCCAAACATGAAGCTGATGACCATTAACCTAAAACAGTCATTAATTCCCCTGGAAACTGCCTGGGTCCAAGGCATCGCTAGGCTAACTGGCACTTTTTTCTTTTAAAAATGTCTTTTGTCATTTTTACTTTCAGCACAAATACATTCAGAAATAATTGTGTGTCTAGTTCTTTAGTTCTTTAGCAGAAATAATTGTGTTTCTATTGTAGACCTTCTTATGTTTTCAGTTTCAATTGAGATTCTTTTGTAGGACAAATCAAAATTTTGACTAAAAACTGCCATTTTCTGTATGCATCTTAGTTTTTTAAGTAAACTGAAAGATGCACATTTTTATTTAGTTAGAATTTATCTTAATTGGGATTTCTTTCTGTACTCATTTAATGTAATTTTTTATTAAATTTTAAACTCAGAGCAAAACCATGTCTTATTTCATTTAGTTCTTTTATTTGTCAGTACCTAAAATTCCTAGTATAGAGCAGGTGTTCAGCAAATGCTAAATAAATAATTATTAAGTTTATATTTTAAATGTTCATATTAGATTGCATCAAACAAATAACTGGAACCTTTGGTTTCCATTTTCTTCAACTTCAAAAATAGATGTATTTACTGGAATCAAAACTATCCTAAATATTGAGATTAATTAAAGAATTAATCACTTTTTTAAAAAACCACCATCTGAATTAAAGCAAATTTATGGAGAATATTTTAGGATGCATATTTAAAGAGAATTTATCTGACCATATTGAATTTGCTTTAAAATTAGCATTAGAGCATTATCCACTAAATTGCTAAAGGACAACCTTAAAAATCTTACCTTTCTGTACAAGCTTATCTTTGTCCTTGGATTTCTACTCTAAAAACAGGTTACCTTAAAACCATGTGAAGGCCCAAATGAAAGTGTTTCGCTCACAAGTTTTGAGGGCACTCAGTCATTCACTACATTAATCGCAAAGGACACTTCTAATTGCTCACTTTGGTAATGCTGAGATGATGGTAAGTATTTCCTGGTCTGAGAAGTGGCTGGTGGCTCAGTAGAGAAGGGTTCTTTGGTCATTCACCAAGAGGACCT